TCAAAGCGTAAACAATATAAGCGCTTCTTTAGTGCTTGTTCTTTGAAATGAACTCAACTATGAACTCAAAATACCTTATCCGTTTTCTCATAAATTTTTTTTTGTCGCTTAGATGTGTGGACGAGCTCACAGCCCACTTGGTGTTAAGTGGTTACTGGAGCCCATAGACATCTACAACGTAAATGCGCCACCCACCTTGAGATATAAGTTGTAAGGTCTCAGTATAGTTACAACGGCTACCCCACCCTTCAAACCGAAACGCATTAGTGCTTCACGGCAGAAATAGGCAGGGCGGTGGTACCTACCCGCGCAGACTCACAACAGGTCCTACCACCAGTAAATTAAATTGAAAAGTAATTCATTTTGTTCAAAGCAAACATTGATTTTTTTGTAATTTACTATTCTTAATCGACTTCAAATCAAAAAGACAAAGTAGGTTCTCAATTCGGGTCGAACTTGTTCGTTCAAGTAGCTATTTAACATTGCAGATTTTTTTTTGGTGCCAGCCTGTAAATCCAAAGCGAAACTGATAAATATAGTGGGACCATTATAAAATGATTTTCGTTTGGGCGGGCGAATTCGCGGCCATGCGGCAAGCGCGGCGGCGGCGTGGCAACATGCCTGGACGACCGCCAATTTACCATGGAAATCAGATAAAACGCGCTATCGTCATTGTTTTACCGAGTTTCTGAGAATCAATAGCAATGATGGATATCGACGTTCCTGAATAGAAACCAACTGGTACTATGTTTTTTTGGTTGCTATAGGTGTTAAGCGGTTACACATAAGAAATGTCCTATACACATAAGAATAACGATTGTTCCCAAACTGTACTAAAACGCCTTTTTACCTACCTATACATATATTGTGTTATTTAAACAACAATGTTATAGACACTCCTTGTAACTATTGAACCTTATAAAAATGGTTATCCAATATTAAGATTAGATCAATATAATGATTAAATTAAATGCTTTTTAAATCATTTTATAATTTAGGAATGTATTCAAATTCGTATACGTGGTATAAAGATTGAAGCGAATATTGAATCGTCTATGTAATATTAAAGTAAGTTTGTTTGGCAGAGATAAATACAAAATAAAGATTCTCTTGGATTTTATAGCCAGTCGTATTTCATGGACACCCCAATGCGATTGATTATGATAAATACAGGAAGCAATAACTGGGTTTGACGACGCTCTATGGATAGCTGGGTGGAAGCCGTGTTGAATCGCGCTATCAACATAGCGTTGCTGAGTTCGATTGCCTCAAATAAAAACTCAAGTTTCAAACATTATTAACTACAAACAAGAAATCTCACAAATGTTAATGATATTGAATATTTTTGAAACTTAATAATTTGTCAATCGCCCACTCAAGCTTATATTAGATTCGTAAACTCACAATAAAATGTAAAATACACAGTACAATGTTTATAATTTAGCTATTTGCCAAATAGCTAGAACTCGTGCGTAACGTATATATTATAAATGAGGCCAAACTCACAAATATGCACAAATAACGATTATTGTTTCCAGCATTGCATGAGTTACGGAAATTTCTGGAACATTTACATTCTGCAGTCGAACTTGAAAACGTCACGTTTAATGTTTGTTTCGAACTATTGTTTTATTGGTGTACCAAAATATATCGTTATTCAAATTTCGACTTTCTGACAATTAGGTACTGTTTAATTTTGTATGTTTGATTTAAAGGAATAGCTGATCAACAATGAAGTAGTCGCTTACTAACTTCGATCAACAATAGTAACTATTGTTGATATAATATAAGTTTATTGTTGTAATATATTGTTGATAAGATAACTTACTAATTAGTATCTATATCTAACAGCACACGTAAATGTTTTATTGCGGTACGAAGAGTTTTTTTCTTTCTATTGTTTAGACTGGTACACGAGCCCACGGTCCACCGGTTCTCAAATGGTTACCGAAGCCCGTAGACATCAACAACGTAAATGTCACCATCTAATTTGAGAAATGACTTCTATATAAGTCTCAGTTCGTAAAAGGCCTGCTCCACTCTTCACACCGGAATCCTGCAGAAATAGATAAAGTGGAGGTACCTATTTAAATGAGAATTATTATTTTTGTGATTTCGATTTTTATCACACGATCCAATGTAAATCGCTTATGAACTATAAATAAATATACACCGGGAACCTTTAAATAAACACGGACAAATTAACTTTTCTGGTTTGCTAGCAGAACTTAGTTTTTATTGACTAATTTATCCTGCTAGTATTTCAAATATTCAACGCAATACTTAGTCTCCTGCTGTAGTATGAATCATGTTTTTAAATAATTTACACTTCCCACGTCTTTGATCTTGCTCGATAACGGAAAATAAAATGTTTTAATACAATATAACTTCATTAATGCGTTTAGTATCAATAATTATCACTGGCCGCTTATTGTTAGATAAACGACGACATTAAATCGCTTTTGCTTTCCCGTTGTTTTAAAAACAAAATCCTGTTCTTGAGACTAATTAATAAACATTATTATAAATTTTAGATGAAAAAAAAAAAGTAATAAAGCCCGTGGAACTTGGAGACATCTGCCAAGAAGTCTTAACGATTAAAATTAACAGCTCTGCGTTCCGGCAAAAATAAAAAATTCATGTTTTAAAACTATTTTCTTGCCAAAACTTCATGGAACAGCTGTTGAATGTTGTAACGGCTACGCTCGTTATCACGAACTAATTTATCTGCCGATTTAGGTGAATAAATATAGAATTTATTATTTTAAAATGCACATAACACGTGACGCTTTAAGCCGCGGCTATGACAATAACAGTACCTTTTAAAAATGAGGCCTGATTTTTACGTTTTTTTTTTCTAAAAAATTAATAAATGCCCTGTGGCCTAACTTGTCTTTTGAGTCATTCTGTTGCCATTCGCACCTTTGTATTTTTCTATATATCTAGGATCTGGAAACTATAGATCACAACATAGATACGTCATCCGCCTTGATATGGCACAAGGGTTGTCTCATCTTTCAAAGCAGAACGTATGACAGTTTATCGACAGAAAAACGTAAACATTAGGCGCACAACTTAAGATAGGTATATTGTACAAGTACAGGCGGGACACGTACCTTGAGGAAGAAAGCAAGTTTCAAAATGTTATTAGAAGAACATTATTTCATTTACTCGTCAGAGGTTTTGGGTCCCGGCACAGTTGCATCATTCAATACAAAATATGCTCTGGGCAAATAAAAAATTTCGCCACGGACTGTTCCCAGGGTCATAATTTCATTTAAAATTTCCTGGTTTCCTTTTTTTTTATTGCCTTTGTAGGCAGACGAGCATACGGCCAACTTGATGGTGAGTGGTTACCGTCGCCCATGGACTTCAGCAATGCCAGGGGCAGAGCCAAGTCGCTGCCTACCGCTTAATACTCTCCACAAGCCTCGTTTGAAGAAGGACATAGCGCTCGGGAAACACCGTGGAGGGGAGCTCATTCCATAGCCGGATGGTACGTGGCAAAAAATACCTCTGGAAACGCACTGTGGATGACCGCAGTGGCTCCATGTAGTATGGATGAACTCTACTCCGGTGGCGGGCGGTGCGATGGTAAAAACGAGATGTCGGTATCATCTCGAACAATTCCTCAGAGCACTCCCCATGGAACATACGGTACAAAATATAGAGGGAACCGAAGTCCCTCCGCAGAACCAGAGGTTCCAAACGATCCATGAGAATGGGACTGTCGACAATCCGAACGGTCCTCTTCTGTAAAATAAAAACTTTTTGCTAAATTAAATGCCATCGGAATCGTGCATTTTTATATTAACGGGAAAAAAAGAACCCTAGAGTTGTTATCTGATAAATTATCTAAAAAAGTAATTTTCAAAAAAATTATATAAACAAGAATCTTCGTTTCAATAAAATGTATATTAACAAATTAGCCTAATTTTTTAGTTTGATGCACAAATATAATTAGTTTACTTTCTGTTTAATAAAAATGAACATTTGATGTGAAAATCGTCCTCAAAATAATTACGAACCCCTATTAGCGGAGAGCTTCACCTTGATTTTAATTGAGGCTGTTAATAGACGTACGTGCGTCAGTGACTCGCTTTAATCTCGAATAATTGAGGAAAATTATTCCAGTAAAACTCACGCTTTCCAACGAATGAAAATTTATGGCGTACCGCCACAGGTAATAAAACTTATAAAATACTGTTCTAATTGCAACGACGAAAGAATAGACGCGTTTCCGTTCACACATTTCAAATAAAAAAAAATTCGAAACACGATTTTATTATTTTACCCAAAGCAATGTTTATTTTCATAATGTCTTACGGGTAGCAGAATTCCGGTAGTAGTTTCAAGACATCTAAAGACACTAGTACTATTACTATTATCGGATAGCCTATCAACATGAGTCAGGCCAGGAGTACGGTCGTTTACGCTTATCCAGATAGTGAAATATGGTATTAGTTAAAAACCATTAAATATGTATCGTAAGAATAAATACATGGATAAATAGTTTTCATTGCGTTTCTGAGTTGTGAAATTTTAAATAAATTCTTACTATGTTGATTTATTTGATTATTTGATATTTGAAGATTTTATCAAAAGTTCTAGTAGTTTCTTCATCAAAAATACATATAGATAATGCACTGTGCACATGCATGCATGCACACGCTGGATGCTTCTCACTACATATCGGTGTACCAAAATAGCTGCGTTGCTCAATATTTGCACCAACTACACCTCAGTGCATTGAACTATTCTCCTAATACAACTTGCAACCCGCCGAACGATCAGTTTAACTCATTTTATAGCCAGTGCAACACTCTACTTTCACTTCAGACATCGGTTTTGGCAAAGTTAACTAAATCCACTGACACATATTAGCTCCTAGTAACAGTTCAAACAATGACTACGTTAAATATCGAAGGTATTATTCTCGGGTAATTAGTTAATGTATTACGTAAGCAAATTGCGTGTACTAATTGGAGGGTTTGTTTCAGTCCTCCGCAAAGCCTTCGACGGCTTCGACCACAACCGCTCGGGTAGTATCCCCTGTGACTTCGTGGCTGATATCCTGAGAATGATGGGGCAGCCATTCAACAAGAAAATTCTCGAGGAGCTTATTGAGGAGGTCGACGCCGACAGTAAGTCTGTTCTGCACATCAAATTTACTGCTAAAAACTTATTTGAATCATTTAATTCACTAGCACATCTGTGAAAAATAGACTCATTTCCTGTATGTTTCATAAATAGAATATTATCATAAGTATTTATTTTAAAACTATTCAGTTCGCGTCCAGAGAGATTAAGGCGGCCAGAGAGATTGATATTGAGGGAGTTAATATATCCTTACAAATATGTATATCACAGGAAAGGAAAGTTCATTTTATACTAACTCATTTTCGCATACTAAAATCTTTCCACTCATTTATTTTCAGAATCTGGTCGTCTAGAATTCCCCGAGTTCGTAACTCTGGCCGCTAAGTTCATCGTTGAAGAGGACGCTGAGGCCATGCAGAAAGAACTCAGGGAAGCGTTCAGATTGTACGACAAGGAAGGCAAGTACCTATTTTATCACACCGAATGAAATAATGCCCAAAGAAACATAATATAGGGACGCGTACTGTTTGCAAAACTGTTCAATATTATCGATTGAACTTTTAAACCCTTTTAATTTAATTCTCGTCTTACTTAAATTGCATTGTATTGTATTTTGTGTTAGCCTTAATATGAGTAATATCAACTTTTTTTTTGTTCAAATCCACTCGTAGAATTGCATTTCTGAAAGCATCGCTCGGTGTAGGTATTCGTGATATGAATGATATAGCTTAGCGTAGCATAGTATCATTTATGACAAGTAATATTTTTAGTAAGTTATTACGAAAAATACCTAGCTCATGTCCACGAACGTCTATCACTTTACTTAATATCGGGTTTTAATGAGGTCCACAGGTAATAAATAAAAAACCACGTCTCTGATAGCCACTCAACTCAAAAGCTGAGTCCTCAGCAATAAAAAAATATCAGCATTTTTTTTTCCTACCTAAATTGATAGGTACCTTTGAGAGGCTATGTCAGCGTAACCGAGCGACTAGGTGAGCTCACGGGGCTCAAATCGGGAGCGTTGCTAACACTGGCCCTAGCAAGAGTAGTGGAAACCCGACCCACTGAGAAGATCCGGCGAGAAACTCAGTGGGCTATCAGCATTGATATAAATTCAGATCACAATAATCAAGTTCGATTTGTATTCGGTGAAACCTGAAACAAGATTCCTGTTTCGTCATAACAAATAACATTCCAGGCAACGGTTACATTCCCACGTCGAGCCTGCGCGAGATCCTCCGGGAATTGGACGAGCAGCTGACTGACGATGAACTCGATGGCCTCATCCAAGAGATCGACACTGACGGAAGCGGCACTGTTGACTTCGACGGTAAGAACATCGAAGTATATACTGAATAAAACGTCGCGACTAATGCAGACACGCGAACCATAAATCTGTCGAAACGGTTCATCGGCGATCCGAACTCCTTTAAGTTTATGCATCGTCGCGTGCGATTTATTTTACGTCTTAAATACAGTGTACTAGAAAACTGAAAATATATCGCCTCAATGTAAATAGATAGCAATAATAATCTCTTATGTATAAATAAATATAGTTTTAATACTGATTGATTATTGAGTAGTGTTTTGTTTTGAGAAACTACAATAAAACGAATGTAGCTGGCTAGTTTTTGATAGTGAATGTTTTAGCGCTATTTCGTAGCTCATTTTATCAAATAATTCAGTCGTAGTGGGGATCATGCGTACAACCTCTCGAATAGAATATCCAGTATTTTTTAAAATCCAACAAGATTTCTGCAAGTTTGCTTCTTAAGTGCTAAAGGTTGTTTCGTTAGTGTTACATTGTCTTCTGTGAATACAGAACATTATGATTAATACTGCCGTGTCCAAAATAGTCTTGAGAGTCTAATTATTACTTTTAATATCCCTATAGGCGTCGCCATTTTTAAATATGGATAACTCTCACTGTAATTAAACATTTGACTGTCTTTTAATTTTTGTTCATTATTTGTTTCAGAGTTCATGGAGATGATGACAGGGGAATAAACATCTATTTCATTTCTATTTATTTATTATGATCTAAGTTAAGTTATCTCTACGCGTTGGCTAATTCAACCCTTCTAATCTGGGAGCATTGGACATCAGTTTGCAGCTACAAAACAATTTCTATCGGCTAATTTTTCAAGTATTATGTATGTATTGTACAAACTGTAATTAATTGTTCTTAATTGATCGGGTGTGGTTGAGTTATATTTTATATTATCTACTGATTAATAAATCTTTTATTCTACTGTCTATGTTTTGCATTGATTCAGTTGTAATCGGTTAGAAAGCGAACAGATTTAGAATTGAGACGGCGTCGTAAGTATAACGTAATTCTCAAAATAATATTCGTGTCGAGATATAATTTTCGTTTCTTAAGATTTCTGTTCGAGATAAATATAATGACTTCTCTGTTTTTAAAGCGGACGCCAAATTGTCCTAGATAATTTTGATGACATGAAATTTTAGAAAATTTGGCACTCGGCCATCGTTTAGTCACGACGCTGTACCAAACGACCGGTATAAAATCCACGGACCTAAATCATCCCGCGAATAAAAACAAACTTTAAATAATAATTATTTATTACGTAATTCTTTGTTCTTTAAATATTTTTTTATTCATCCACGTCGCAAACATCGGATTTTTTGCATTGTTTATTGTTACACATAAAGCTAGATGTACTTTACTTTTAGACTTCGATCATCAATTAAAACTAACATTACAATATGACACATCCGACTCGTTATTATCGCAGTTTTATATGGCTGTTTCATGATGCACTACGTAAATAAATTTCGAACATTGAAATTGAAATGTTCGAAAAGATTCTGAAAAGATTTCGATTCTCTCATAAAATCTCCCAAAAAATAGTGCGCAAATTTAAAACAAACAATATAAAAAATGCGTTTTAAATTATAACCTTCAAGCGTATAACGCTTAAAACGAGTTAAGTAGATAAAATGACCGAAACTAGACTCACTTAAAAGCCTGCATAAAACGTAGGCTTTCCATAGTAACATGAAGAAAATATACATTTAGGTACACAAAAATATAATACTATAATAAAAAGTAAAAATATTTTTAACTTATCCAAAAATAGAAACAAATTAATAATATAATATACGAACGCTATTTTTCATGGAATGCGGCTTAAAACTTTATCAGGTAATAAATACAATTGAAATAATTAGTATCTTATTTAAACAAAAAAAAAAAACATTGGCGAATTGTACACACTGTCGATAAATATGTTAATAATTATAAAGGCTACATTAAATTTAGGAAAATATAATTAGAATATAAAATGTCATGAAGTTCTAAATTTATCTTGGAACTTCAGGCTGCGGTTATATCGCAGCGCAATGGCGCACGGAAACCTAAACTTTGTTGAAGCATTATATTGTGTTGTACCATCACGTGAAAGAATTACTTAGGCCCCGATCACATCACCTCGACACTGTCGTGTGATGCTTAGTAACAAATTAACTATCGCATCACTGATTCAAAAACGTCTAAAAAAACTGTATCTTGACGTGAAGATGTGTCCGGACCCTTATAATTTCGTGCTAGTGAAAAGTACACAGACAGCCCTGGGATACATAGCATCGTTTATTTGTTTAATTTCAGTAAGCTATTATCGAATAAATAGTGAAGCGCGTACGCCTGATGCTTTCAAAATTAGACAACTGAGTTTGAACATTTTGATGGTACTTATTTAGTTAAGCAGTAGTTATAGATGTCGTCGTACCACGGACTCGCACTTTAAATAAATAACGTTCTTAACTTTACTCTTTTCAAAGTCATATTCATTGGTAACGCGTCTAAAAACTAAGGTTTCCCATGAGTCTTTAATTATAATGTTATAACTAGGTAATTATATTTTAGTCGCAAGTACATTTAAATTGGAAGTGTGTTCGATGGAACCAATTTTCAGTTAGAACTGGGACCTAGATCATTCCGCTTTATAATAACATGCCAAATATTGCCAGCCCTATTCTGAAAGTTTGGCAGAGAAAACCTTTTTTGCCTATTTACATTTAGTTTCACATAATTTCATTAGCTTCTTGGCTTCAGATAGCTAGGTCTTATCTAATTTATTTTTTTTCGTTAAGAGCTACAAATGAGATCTCAATTTGAACTATGTTTTACAGAACGTCCATCTCTTGCCTGAAATTATATTATTCAAAGCTAATTATCACATTTTTTTTTACATTTTGCATTACAGCGTAATAAATTATTAATTAAAATTCCTTACGTGAATAAAGCGATATTCCTATCACAGTTACAACCAGCCGACAGAAATAAAATTTTAAACTACATTTCTTTCATAAATGTAAAACTTTGATTTCGGATAAAACGCATATTTATCAACGAACTAAAATTCCACTGGTTAAGAATAAGCTAATAATGTGGAGCTAAGTTGGCTATAACAGAAAACAAATCATTCTAACGTGAAAGTACAGTAAATTGAGGGGAATAGAGACTAGAGTTAGAATAGGGACAAATCTGGGATGCCATGATACTTTTGTTGAGTTGTTAGATTTAACTTTGATGAATTGAAAATGACTTTTATTTAGTGTTTAAGAATATTACAAAGTTTTTTAACTCATCAAAAATATTAAAAAGTTCATTAACTAAAGTTAGGTACTTACCTCACAACTAAATAGTGCCAGCCCTATCGAAAAACTAACATACGTAACTTGATTCACTCCAAAGCCAAGGTGAATCGGGTCAAGCTAGTTTTCTCAGTTTTTGTGTATATTTTGTAATGAACTCTGTATAATAATGCATCGTATATAAAAATTTAAGCCTCCGGAATCATATTAATCTCAATTTTATTGGTATTACCCTAAGAAAAACCATTGAAAACTTGTGTTGAATCCGGGAAGGGTGCCGATTCCCCCCAATCTACGGTACCTGATTTTTTATCCCAGCCGATTATAACACGTGAAGAAATACGTTTATTATCTCTTAGAACTAAATTACGTTCTTTTATAACCTAAAAGTAGTTTAATGAATACTGCTCGAGTAGATAGATCTTCGTTCCATATATAGCTGACTGACGTATAGGACGCAGCCCACGTGCGGTCCAGTTGCGAATTCTTTTAATACTCTGAAATGAATAAAGTATAATTTTGTAAAGGTTATGATATCATCTGATTGTTCTTTATTGAGTATGATTAATGTGTTATTGGAATGGTTTTTTTTTAATTTAGTGGACAGCTAAAATTAACTAAGGTTAAGTGACATAAACTTTATCGATATGTATTTATTTAAATGACGATACATCATTTTTACTGTTGCGTTGTTTGTTTTGAGAATCTTAGAACGGTAAATTATACATATGAAAGAACAAACAACACAGAATGTAATCAATCGATTTCTGAAGCCGTAAAAGGAATTTAACACTTTAACGTAGGAGACTTGGTTTGTTTGCTAAGCTAGTATTAATTCTGCCCTTTTAAGTAGGACCATATTGTTTTGTTATCGAAAAGTTGATTACTTAATTTATTGAAACTTAATTTACTTGTGGTAAAGTGAAATATGAACCAACAGGGATCGGTACCATCGACTTTCCTGGGTATGCATCTAAGGAGTTAGCGTTCCGATTTGAATAATCGTTATGCAAAACAATTGAAGCTTCGACCATGATTCATGATTGATATCTATCGGCTCTGGTATTTACTTAACTCCAGGTCGACCGTAAGATTGTTCACCCAGCAATCGCAAAAAAATGATTTCCATACTATACGCATACTGCACTACATATAAACGAAATAAAAATTTGAACCTATGATTTTATTGATTGTTTCAAGGATCAACCATACTATTGCAATGCTTGCATTTGTATTCGAAAAAAGATTTCGCTTAGTCAATACAATAAAATTTTAAAGGAGGTAAGAGCTCACCGTGATCCGTCATACTGGTTGGATTGACTAGTAACAATTGTCTCCGCATGCGAATTATAAATGCAATATAGGCGGCGGCGGCCGGACTTTCTTGTTCGTGAACATGGGTATATTACCGAGATCCATCAGATTAGTTCCCTTCGTTTTGGGACCGCGATTCTTGCGGTTCCGACTAAGCCACGGAGGAGCGGCACCTTCGCACCAAGCTGTGTGCGTCCAATTTTTAGGCTCAGCACCGAACCTCGTACACTCCCGCGCGTAGGCTCTGTATGCCGCACAATGGCAGCGGGTACCCGAACAACTGCGAGCGTCGAGTTCGCAGGCTTCTTGATAGTGGTGCGGATTCACTTTAGTCGTGCACTCCATGAACGATTCGTAGCGAACGAAGCCACGGCAAAGCCTTCGAGCCTTCACGATTTTCGACTGTCTAAGAGGCACGTTCATACGTTGCTTCTGTCGACGAGTGCAAGCTCGCGTCCCTCCCACTCGCCACGACGAACCGAACTTCCAAGTGTCATTCAAGTGTTTCCCGTCACGAGTCCTCATATCGTCTCTCGCTACTGAATTAAAGTTACCACATAAACCGCACAGTTTTCCTTTGTACGCACTAGACACAGTCACTTCCAAGAATCCGTCGCCGTCCCACAGTAGCTGCACCCCGATTTCGGATTTCAATAGAACCGAACCGTTGCTTTTCACGATTTCCGCGACCCCATTGATTTTGTGAGGCAGGGTGACTCTTCGTCCGTTTACTTTGATACGCATCTTTTTCCCCATATTGATTTTGGTTGGACCGATCCGCAGAGTCGCCGTTCGGGTCCAAGACGAATGCGACGTATTTCTGGCGTCATTAGAAATTCTTATAGAAAAAGTGCCATTCACACAATCAGATGCGAGCTGATATTTGCAGGATCCTTGAAAACTATAAAACTTTCCATCGAAAGTCTTGTAGTGGGGATCGCCGAAGACCGTGCAAATTCCGTCCATATCGACACACTTCGGACAGCACTGCCCTGGCATTTGTCGAAGCGTTTGATCTGGAGGACAAGTCAAGGTTGGACACCTTTCCATCGCGCATCTTGGTTCCCCGCTATGACATTCACACGACTTGCAGGCATCTAACTGCCATGTATCGCCATCCTGCAATATATAATTTTATATAAAGTTTCAATCAGACAGACCATTTAAATCCTTATTTTTTGGAACTGGTTCAGTTCCTGCTCAGGTTTTGTGATCTTAGCTAGTATATCATTGTCTCTATTTTTGTCAAAAAGCAGTTGTGTGTTCTGGTTTAAAAGTTACGACAGCCCTGACGGTATTCAATTAAAATAAGTTGGGATCTCAATAAAAAGCTGGAATCAAGTCACTTTGTTGTGTTGTTAATATGGGTGTTTCCGTTATCCCATACTACAGTCAGCTTAGGGCCATTGACCAATCGTCAACAAAGACAATTCAAGTTCTGAATAATAATCAAAAGGTTTCAATACGGTTTCGAACCTGGTAAATTTTCCCGCCGATAACGCAAGCGGTTTTAGCCTCTTCGATCTGCGGGCATTCCGGACAGCACTTTCCCGGCGCGGGCGGTAAGGCTTTCGCGCACGTCAGCACGGGACACGTGTGCCGTGAGCAAACAGCCGTACCATTCATACACGTGCAGTCGGTACACGGATCGACCCGGAACGGGCGGAGGTGTGCGTGGAATTCTTTGCCTATAATGCACGGCTTCCAAGGTACATTACCGGGATCTGAAAAAGTTAATTTCAAAATATTAGGTATCTAATTTATTTACCTTTTTTTATTTTATTGGCCTTGCAGGCGGATGAGCGCATGGCCCCCCTGATGGTGAGTGGTTACCGTCGCCCATGGACTTCAGCAATGCCAGGGGCAGAGCCAAGCCGCTGCCTACCTGCCTTCTTTGTTTTAGAAGTGCGGACGAGTTCATGACGCACCCGGTGTTAGGTGGTTACCGGAGCTTATTGATAATAAATACAACATAAATACTACCATCCACGTCAAGAACGAACGTCCAAGTTTTCATTGTATTGTATTAGTTGTCCCTTCAAATGGGAATACTTCGCAGCAGACAATATCTAAATCTAAATCGAATAACTCAGCTTATTCATAAGATAATATGAACAACTCCGAATTCTAAATATTGGATTCCAACGAATAAATAATATAATATAAGCAATTAAAACAAAATAATAAATTTTATTAACTTACTTGGTAATAGTTTATCAGAATTAGGGTGTAAGCACCGCGGACAGCATTCGCCTAGAGGCATATGCTGTTGAGAGCGGGCACAAGGAAGAACAGGACAAGCACGCTTCACACAAGAGAGAGATCCGTGCAGACACCGACACGACAGACACGGCTCCTCCGGAATACGAACATCCCGACCTTCCCAAACACGCTGACCATTAATCACGCACTCTGAAAAGAACATTAAAAGACATTTCATTGCAAGTTTTACCAGGCCTATTATTTTGGCTTTCAGCAAGCTTATCGCAAATTGTAACTAGAACTAATTTTCTACTTTAAGCTCGCATTTGCCATTGTCATTATCACAGTACAGGTAACCTTCACCGGTCACCGTCCTCGTCGAAACTGTCGCTTGCGACGAAGGGCTCGACGAGCGAATTAACCCACACAGCCCACGGAGTTTCTCGCCGGATCTTCTCAGTGGGTCGCGTTTCCGATCCAGTGGTAGATTCTGCGAAGCACTGCTCTTGCTAGGGCTAGTGTTAGCATCACTCCGATTTGAGCCTCGTGAGCTCACCTACTAGTTAAGGTTACGCTGAAATAGCCTCTCACACTGACACAGTAGATAGGTACGTTCCTATAAAGTTCCGTGTTGCGCAAAACGTGTTATATGAGACTAGAAGACAGTACAAAAAGGAGAGTAATTTTTCTGAATTAAGCATCTCAACTACATATGTCTGTGTGTATTTTTTACCTATTATACATAAAAAATAAGAAGTGAAATTTTGGGTATACCCATATATTGTGTGTTCATAGTGCATAATTTGCAATTTGTGCAAATTAAGTATTACTTAAGTCGTTCGTGACGTATTCGAAACTTCAGAAATAATTGAAGATGATAATAATAAACGCGAAATTCAACCGTAAAAGTAGCTTTAATTATGTCCAGGACTCGCGAAAACCTAAAAAAAATACCGATTTTATCGCTAATTTTCGCAACTTTGAAAACTCCCCGGACATGTTAATTTCTGGCTTGTTCATGAGAGCTGCTCGCTGCGACCATCTCAATACCCCCATTTTTGTGACATCTATTTTTGTCGTTAATATTTGCGTAATTTCTAAATAAATAACGCACCCCAAAAATATTGTCCTATAGGTACACGGTTCCCAATCTATAATGAAGCCCGCTGAAATCTAAAAATCAACATTTTCTTCTATACAGAATGAAAAACGATCTTTAAAAACATTCGAATTATCTCGAATACTTCTTCTTAATCTTAGAACCAGAAGCATCTGAAATTAAGCCGACTCGCAAAATAAAATGCGATCCATTGTTTGTTAATGGGCTCACAATCTCGGGCGGGACGACAAAGCGCAAACACCATAAATTAGTGAAGAGAAACGATGAATCAATCAGAGGGTTAATGAATGGTCCTATAGAGGGCCGCACACAGCGAGCAAGACCACCTGCAGGGAACCGATAGATTATACCATGACAAACATCGAATTAGTTCCCTCGCTAACAAGATTAGATCAACGGTTCAAATAATCGGAGAAATCGTTGAAAGTACATACAATGTTATCAATTTTATATTATCAATATTAGGTTCTATCACTATTAGGAAAATTTATTGTATAAACTAGTTTCTTATTTATTGCGTTTGTAGGCAGATGAGCATACGCCCCACCTGATCTAAGTGGTTAACGTCGCCCGTGGACGTCAGCAATGCTGAGGGCAGAACCAAGCCACTACCCACTGTTAAGTACTCTCCGCAAGCCTCGTTTGAAGAAGGACATGTCATAGCACTCAGAAAACAACGTAGAGGGGAGCTCATACCAAAGACGTATGATACGCACTGTGGATGAACGCAGTGATTCTAGAGAGTGTGGATGAACTCTACTCCGGTGATGGGCAATGCCACGGTAAAAACGAGATGATAGGATCACCTCAAACGATTTCTCAGATAAAGCACTCCCTCAATTCTGTAGATATTTCTCATGCTAATAAAATATGCGGTTTAATAGTTTAATATCAGTGAAATATATATTTTATTTATTGCATAGTTGAGTGGACGAGCTCACAGTCCACCAGAGGTTAAGTGGTTACCGGAGCCCGTAGACATCTACAACGTAAATGCCGCCACCCACCTTGAGACATGAGTTCTAAGGTCTGAGTATAGGTACAACGGCTGCCCGACCCTTCAAACCGAAACACATTACTGCTTCACGGCAGGAATAGGCAGGGTGGTGGTACCTACTCGTGGGGACTCACAAGAGGTTCTACCATCAGTAAAAAAAATATTACATTTATATATAAATATATACATTATATTGCATAAATAAAATTTTGTTCTTCACGTTTTAATGATAATTTGAACTCAAGTCTCACTCAGGCTTTATTTCATTGCATCAATAATATAACGAAGCATACAACGTGTGAATGCGAAGTGCTTATTCACTTGTCCGTGTTTTAGAATTGAATGTTTCATTCAACGGGCACTTTGATTCCACACGCAATGGTTGATGGGGACCGCCGCATCGCCGCACATAATTGTGACAATGAAAACAGGCAAGTGTCTGTCGTAAAACTAGACGACTACACAAACTAGGCTGTCCTTATGTGGGCATACAATTACGTATTCAACGCATGTCCGAGTCGTTCCTACTCGAATAAGCGATGTGTTTGTCACAGAATAATCATAATCCAAAGATTGCTATCTGCAACTAACAGTTTATTTTAAGTGCTGTTTCGTTAAACATCCATTCGCTTGAGAAATCGTTACGACAATACGTAGGTACGTAATTAACGTATGTAGTAATTGACGAAAGCTGGAGAAAATTTCAATGGGCTTCTGTACTTACGCTATAGAATTTCTTAACCCTATGCTATTTCAATAAAAACAATGTAAAATAAAAAAAATATGGGACTGCGTAGTTTGTACAGAAAATAAAGAATATTCGAAGTAAATCTTATTTAATTGTTTTCAAATTTTGATAACTACAATGTCCGTCTAACTCGGCGCAAATTCGAGGCACGTGTATCGCGTACATCACAAGCTAATTATTTCAATTTCTCAGGACGTCGTCGTAGGCATACATAACGGGCGGTTCTCTAAACACCCCGTGAATTTTGATGAGAGCGGGTTTTTCTCTATTATAATAAATTTTTTTGCAATAACTTTTACATAATACACCGGGCATTTACATATTGATTAGCCATGTCATCCAATAAAGGCAGAATCTCACATTGTTTTCATTAAAATAACCAAAGAAAGAAAAAACTCAGACCAGTAATTGTTATAACTGTGATTATTTATCATTTTTCACTTAGGAACAATAAAAGGATAGCTTGTTGATAAGGTAACAAATAAAAAAAGACCTAATGCGGAGTGCATTAAGTTGGGATCGTAAAACAAACAAACAGAGGATTCACCTCTGCGTTCCCGTAGCCGCGTCGACGTCGGCAGCTTTGACCGCCGCACAAAAACCTACCCAACCGAACCTTTTAAGTAGGTTGTTAACTTTTTGATTTATGGTCAATAATAGAGACGCAACGCCGCGGGAGACTACGACCACCAAAATACATAATTTTAATGAGCGCCCGCGAACGTATAATAAGGACTCATTACGTTGTCAATTTCTTTATCTCTACGAAGCGTTATTCAAAGAAATCGTAATCCACTCCCCTCAGCGGAATCAAAACAGCGGGTGGTCTAAGAAAGCCAATTACAGGGAATTTTCTGCACAAACAACGCAAATAAACAAATTTTGTTTATTTGCTTTCATTCTTTTGATTAACCGAAGTATATTTCCGACAATCAAAATGCAATGAGTTTGTTCGCGGTTCGTCAAGTATTTTATGGATTGTAAACTTCAATACTTTTATTTGTTGAGCAAGGAACGGTTTAATTACTCTTTGGCGCCACCCATGTGTACCTAGCACATTGTACATACTAAGTATACACGTGTAAATGTAAAAATATTGTACCTGCTCAACCTTCAAATGCGATATGTTACTAATAATAATGGATAAATGATTGGACGACTACTGGTTCGGTGTTTGATAATAGTTGTTTTATACCTATATGGGTTCGTGCGAAATCATTTATTATATGATTGTGATTTAAGTAGATTATCCTGAACGCGCCACCAAGTAAGGTTTGATTCAATATTTTTTTCAACTATCAATTATTTTGCGTGTGGGTGAATCGTGAAACATCGGCGAATAAAATGAACGATAGTAACATAATTAATTATCCAAGCAAGAGTTTTATCATAGCAGGTTTTTGTTAATCGTGCTTTATTAATACTCTCAGGATAGCTAGATAGATGCACCTGATCGCTTGATCTCGAACCGCTCAGCGTCGACTGGTAATTATTATAATAAAATATAAACATGGCCAATAAAACGATAGTTTGGAATGCGGCGGCAACATACAAAAGCTACATTTTTGATTCATCACGTAATAATTACTATTATTTGTTATGGAATTCGATAAACTTGTTAAGGTTTTGAAGTGGAGGTAAATTACCGGTCATGGTTTTATTAAGTTCGCATGGAGCGGGCGGTGTGTGTTTGTTTTCTTGAGGGGTTCGTCGTTGTTGTTTTTTGCGGCACGCGCGTCTGGGTGGGCGCACCGCGAGACACCGCTACGCCAGGCCCGCCGACAATTACATTCTTTCAACAAAGCCCTCGTGACTCAGGCATTGAAACGTAAGCTCTTGTGTCTACAAATTTTAATTTCTCTCTTTCTCGGAACGAAGAGTTTACGATGTTGCATTTTTATATCACTACTAGCTGTAGCCGTCCGCTTCGCTGGGCATTTAAAGTTAACATTATTATTTCTCACCCCCACAAAGATTCTCATCATTAACGCCCCCGCCACTGGTATAGGGAGTCCGACACTCATATAAATATTAGCCTATCCATTAAGTACATGTATTTTCTACATGGATACCAAGTTTCAAGTCAATCGGAATGCATGGTTCAGTAGTTATAACGGAACATCCGTAAAAACCACTGTAGATTTATATATTAGTATAGATGTTGATAGACGGTGCTAAGCTATTACATTTACATTATAAATTGTGAGTATCTACTTACCATCACACACAGGGCAATTGTTATGAGTGTGCCTCTGTTGCTTCGGTCGATCACAAGGCGCGTAACATTCCGGCCGGGATATCGTGATGACGCCGGCTTCGCATCTGAACACTTTCCCATCATCGTTCCACTCGGTGTGTGACGCGTGCTCGGTACCATTATACCAGCACCCTTTGCATTTAGTGCAGCAACCCTCGCGAGGCATAACGACCGCGCAGTCATCCATCTGCCCGCACTCTTCGGCTCCACTCCGACAGTCCACGAAACCGTTCTAAAAAAAAACAAAAAAAAAACAATTTTTTTTTATTGCTTAGATGGGTGGATGAGCTCACAGCTCACCTGGTGTTAAGTGGTTACTGGAGCCCATAGATATTTACAACGTAAATGCCACCCACCTTGAGATATAAGTTCTAAGATCTCAGTATAGTTACAACGGCTGCCCTACCCTTCAAACGGAAACGAATTACTGCTTCACGGCAGAAATATGCAGGGCGGTGGTAGCTACCCGCGCGGACTCACAAGAAGCCCTATCACCAATTCTATACTGGCTTGGAAAGAAGTAAGTCAAGAACGACGCTATGCTGACTTTTTACCGCATTTTACATACCGCACTTAACCGCGAAGAAATCATTAATTCCCATCTGAATTCTGGGTTAGGCGGTATAAAATACAATTGAGACTACGACGTCATCCCTCAAGGTAGTTGGAGACATTGAAGTGTCTGGTATAGCACTAAATATGAGGTAGACCGTGAGCGCATCTACGACAGTAAAAAATCGCAGACATCTCATTCTAATTCAGGTCAAAATCATAAATAACTACCGCTAGTGGCAGTTGGTAAATTAATTTTCGTCGCCCAAACAGGATTTTGTTCCGTAGATACTTAAAAGAACTAAAGAAACTGACTGATCAACCTTTGGTTCAGGGAGGTCGTTGTTAATGAGAGCTCTAGATAGTAAAATGATTCGGCCGGAACCAGCGATATCTTATATTACAAGCTAACGTAAAATAGTTCATCGAACTCTAAATATAAGAAAAATAATGTTACGTTCATTATATGTATTACTAATGGTAATTAAGTAAATTTTCAATTTATTTTTGTTTGTTTTGTCGTTTACACGTTTAAGTTCAGGTTAGTAAACCCAAGATGAATCTGTCATGCCATTAAAGTCTTGAATTTTTTAAATCAAAAATAACAATCTGATTTTCATTGCATATGAGAGAATATACTAATAATTTTGCTATTAGACCTAGAATAAAATCCCTGGAACGTCGAGCACCACTATCGCTTCTGCAGTTTCCTTAATAGTAATCCACAGTTTTTTACTAAATCTTCAGTTGTGGTAGGACCTTTTGTGAGTCCGCGCGGGTGGGTACCACCACCCTACCTATTTCTGCCGTGAAGCAGTAATGCGTTTCGGTGTGAAGGGTGGGGCAGCCGTTGTAACTTACTTGAGACCTTAGAACTTATATCTCAATGTGGGTGGCGCATTTACGTTGTGGATGTCTATGGGCTCCAGTAACCACTTAACACCAGGTGGGCTGTGAGCTCGTCCAGCCATATAAGCAATAAAAAAAAAAGTTTTAGTATCAACTAATTTTTCGGTATAATCTTAGATTCATTATTAACTATTTAAAATTTGCAAATTTTTTAAAGTTTTACATTTTTCGTCACGTCACGATCGACTAGTGTGTTATTGTTACATTAACTTTCATCCAATGTTATATCAATTTAGCAACGTTTACGTTTCTATAAGTATTTAAGCTTCATTAAATAATGTAATTAATTAAACAACCAATTAAATGAACAATATAGATGATAGACTAAACGGGGTTAGTTAAAAATATTATAGAACGCAATTGACTGATTTCAATTCAAAACTTCTATTTCTTTTATTTTTTATTGAACCGGCATGTGTAATCAGTCAGTAATCAGTGATACATATGTACGCCTAAAACATTTGTACACATAAAAACATATCAGAAAAGGAATAATTTAAAATACAAAAATAATAATAAAAAACACGAACGACGATCTTGACTCATACATCAGAGTTCTCTTCCAGCAAATTAAAATCAATGTAAACAATATAACCTATATTGCAAAAGGTGGATACGGCAAAAAAGAATCATAATAAATATATAAAATGTGAAGTAGAAATAAAATTACTGGAAACATTGTAAAATACAAATAAAGAATTAATTTAAATTGGAACTAATTTTGTGTTTTCCGAAGGATTGCGGGTAACGCCCCCGTCGGTGCAGTGATGATATGTTTTATTTTTTATTTTTATTAAAATATGCATTTTCCTGATGTTCTATTCCTTGAAATATTTCAATAATATCGAGATTATCATGTTCATATTTCGGTGATCGAGTATGTGATGCGATTTTACAAACGCACTAGTCGTTTTAAAATCACACGTCCGATGGTTAACTTTTATCAGAGTGCATCTGCTACGGAAGCCTAATAGAATATAGCGAAATTTTCAAACTACAAGTGTGTACTTCTCTGACGTGATGCTACAATGCGTTCTGGTGCAAACAATAGAATATGCCTTATTCCGTTGCAAGTCAGTCCATTGTCCAAGAGCAGAAGATTTTAGAGCTCGTCTGCTTGATATCATAACAATCTGTTTTTTTTTTAAATTTAATTACAGTATTTTACTACAAACTCAATCTAGATAATTTAATTATCAATTAACATTGTAATATTGTATTATATGACTCACTATTAAAAAACGAATCGAAACAGTCATTGTAAAGGTACTAGACATATTTGTGGCCTTACATTGTTAAAACAGTTTAAGCGCGCATGATTCACAGCGATTATTAAATGCAATAAAAATCTCAACTAAAACAATTTAACTGTTTTAAGAGTCGCGATAACAGCGGATTTCAATACAAAATATTGTCGTTTATATTAATTAAAGTCTTTATCGACGTAATATAAACTGTTTTGTTTTTAATAACATAAGGGAGTTAATTTTATTCAATCTAAAAGTAATTATAATGAGTCATCTGATGTTTGTATTAGGTATTGCACATGATACATTAATGTCGGAAGAAGATTTAACAACCCTTTATACGAATTTCAAGAGTGGTTCATCGAATTTGGATGTATGATGTAGATTTAGTTTCATTATTCATCAAAACAAAGATATTTAATTAATGTTTCTGCATAAAAATGACAGGCTTAAAGTAACTTAATTTATCATGACAAATCACTGGTGGTAGGACCTCTTGTGAGTCCGCACGGGTAGGTACCACCACCCTGCCTATTTCTGCCGTGAAGCAGTAACGCGTTTTGGTTTGAAGGGTGGGGCAGCCGCTGTAACTATACTGAGACCTTAGAACTTATATCTCAAGACGGGTGGCGCATTTACGTTGTAGATGTCTATGGGCTCCAGTAACCACTTAACACCAGGTGAGCTGTGAGCTCGTTCACCCTTCTAAGCAATAACTAAAATAAAATAAATCAACGTATTAATGAAAACAAAATGTTTTTTAAAACAAATAATCCTTCATAGATGTTTTTAAATCATCGATACCTTTCCACTGACACAGGAAGCAGCTTCCCCACTATGAAGAATTATCAAGAAGCTAAGAGCTTGCTCTTTTCCAAACATACGGACAAAAACCGAAAATAATGAAATGGCACGACTTATAATGATAGAAAAAATATCTGAATAAGAAATTATATAATGGTAGTATGCGATTATTATTTTATTAAATAACTGAGTAACCAACTCATGGCCAACCTTGTTGCTAAGGTAAGGTTACCGAAAGAATATTAACACCGCAACGTAAATGCCACCACCCATCCCGAGACATGAGGTCTAAGTCTCAATTGTATAGCATAACGGCTGACCCTTCCTTCAAACTGACTCCACAACTGCTTCACGATATAAAATTAGGCACATTATCATTAATGGAAATTTAGTTTTTACTAGCTGACCCGGCAGACTTCGTAGTGCCTCAATCGATAAATAAAAGACCTAAACTTTTGTATAAAATAAACTTAAAACAAACAAAAGGAATCCGTCCGACGGGGGACACGTCAAAGGAAAAACAACATTGCTATTTTTATTTAATTTCCAGCATTTTCATATTAATCTACCTTTTAAACCTTCTCTGGACTTCCACAAATAAGTCAAGATCAAAGTTAGACAAATCGGTCCAGCCGTTCTCGAGTTTTAGCGAGACTAACGAACAGCAACTCATTTTTATATAATATACCTAGTCAGGTCATAAATTCTGTCACATGTTTAATGTAAAATAATTGAAACAAGTTTATTCATTATGTAACCATTCATATACCAAAATGAACTTAACAAAACATAGATTCTTATGACACTAAAGTTTATTCAAAATGACCTCCGTGATTTTGAATACAGGCCTTCAATCTGCGCGGCCAGTCGTCTATCGCAGCACGAACGAGGTCCATGTCAATATCGGCGGCTGCCTTAATCAAGGATGTCTTGAGTGACTCCAAATTGGGATGAGGCTTTGAGCACGCCTTTTCCTCCAAGTGTTGCCATATCTTGTAATCTAACGGATTCAAATCTGGACTGGAGGAGGGCCAGTCTTCGTGCCGGATGAAGTCGATTTCACGCGATCTTTTGGTTATATTCAAATTTATCAGTATGTTAAAAACTTGAATTGGCGCGTAACCGCAACGATGCAACGCAATAACTGCAACACGGTCTTCTTTAAGCGTCCACTCCATATTTAAAAATGAGTAAAATTCTAAAAGTATACATTTTTATTTTCATGAACAATTCGATATTCGAATTCAATAAACTTTTTTGTGGCCAGCATTCTAAAAGAAAAGTTTTTACTGTGTGACAATACTTATGACCTGACTAGTTATATAGATATTATTGTTAGATATTATTGTTGACACGATGTTATTCCAACATTATGAAAGGCATGTCTGCTCATGTTTTAAGTACGTTTTTATTGAAGCTGTTTACGTGATTTAACAACACGGCATAATTACATGGCTCAATGCGAGTACACCAGACTTTTTCTTTAGGCTAGCTCTATCCTACCGGAAAAGCTTAGAACAGCTTTTGTAATAAAACAATATGCCTCAATCAGTATCAGGTGGGCGCCACCTTATCTGCTCCTCTTAAGTAACAAAATATTCAAAATTTTAATCATGCACATTATGTTCATTGCGAACTTTATTTATTTACATTTTATTTACTTTATTTATTTACATTTAAAAACAACTTCAGTTAAACGCGGAGATATTCTCGTATGTTA